TTCATTACACAGAGCAGCTTCACAGCTCTAGTATATCAGAAATGAAACAAAAACCTGAACATACGCAATGACAGTGTTTTAACTAGAATGTATAGAGCAGCTACCTCTTCTCTGTCATTTCCTTGTTGCTGGAAAGATAAGCCAGCCTAGCAGAGCTGATTCAATCCACAAAAATGTGAGAAAAGGAAGGGAAAAAAACTCTTTACAGACTTACTCCATCACCATTATAGAAATCTTTTTATTAAAGTGTGTAAATAGAAATAGATCTCTGTGTGGGTCATCTTTAAAATATTTCAATGACACAATCCTTATGAACAGAATTTAAGAGAACTTGTGTTTAGAATTCCATTATTTCACATAATCCAAGTTACACACTTGCTTTGGATTCTTACAGAAACAATCTGTAATGCATTTAGGAGACTCCAGTCCTTGCAGCTTACACTATTGTTACAAAAAATGCATAGATTAGTCAGGTGAGGAGAAGCAAAAAGAAAAAAAGGAAAAAAGGAAACTGTACTTTTTCCTACTCATGCCAAAAATACATACAAAGGAATTTTCCCAATTATGTGAACAAACGGATAGATTTACTCTAGCGTGCATACATATCAACTTAGCATTCTCTGGGCTTTGTAGGCAAGAATTTATGGGCATAAATCCCATTCTAGGCTGCAATCCAATCTCCGAAGCTAAAATGTACTCTTAGAAATTGGTTTCCAATTAAGACTTCAAAACATACAGAAAATTTACAGTGTATGAATGGGGTGGGGAATACATGCATCTCTGTCAGGATAAAATAGCATCTACTAGAGGTTTCCTAACAAAGAACAATGTTCCAAGAAACTAGGAAAACAGATTTACATGCATGAACACTGTATGCTCTGTATCTGTTTTAGAACAAAGGGTTTACTAAATAGGCAGAAACTCTGCATTTTCCAGTAGAGTCTGCAAGACCTTGAAATTCCATCATGCAAACCTACACAGAGGATTCATCTGAATATATGGTAACCACCTCCATTAACTTGCAGTAAATCCTCTGATTTTACCAAGCACAAGCCTAACCTGAAAAGCGGAGTACTATATACCTAGCAAAGTCTCAGTTTATGTAAAGTGCCTCAACAAACTCCTTTTCCTCCTAGGCACCTTTGCCATAATGTATTTTATATACAGACCATTTCAACAGAGTATCATCTTCAGGTATCAAAGCCATAAATCATCCCATTTTTCATCCTTTTTGTCCTCACTTCTCAGCTCTACATAGTTGTGCCGAGCACTCTTATAGGCCTGTGAGGATAAGTAATGATGGGCATAAAGGTGGCTCTGTTTTCACATTTCTGAGCGCACGCACTGCATTCTCCTTTCTTCCCAAGTATTTGTGCTATTCCACTCACAAGATACAGGTCCATTAACTCGACCTACTGAATGGTCATTTTGTAAAGTATTTAGATAAACCTTAGGGTGTGGACCACCTTGGAATTAATTCTCATTGGCAAAGCCAAACATGAATACCAGTAGGTAAAACAGCAGTGCACAAACTCTCTCAGCCAAAGGGCTCAATGAACAGATTCTCTTGTTTTATCCCCCCTCCACCCAATTCCACCACTATTTCCAAATTCTTTTCATATAATTCATTTCATGATTCTATTGAGAAACAGGTTTAGAGCAGCACAGATGAGAATGTTAATTGATGCAGTTATATATTTTTAAAATAAACACCAGCGATTCAATGCTTGGCATGTTTGCAAGAAAAGCTACTAGGCAAGAGCTAAATTCTGAAAACCATCTGACACTCATTACTCACCATCAATCTACTTCAAGGTGCAAGAATTTTATAGCTTCCTATTTATTGCAGAGAAATCACTGACACAACCTATACAGTTAAGCGATCTTAAACCATAAAAAAATGGGACAAGGGTTGTCTGTTAGGGGGGAAAAAATATCACTTATTTTTGTGTAGTTTTGCTTAATGCTCAGTATCTTTTTCTCCTGGAGATTCACTGGATGCCCTGGCATTCCATCCGCGTAAGATCACACCTTCAGAGAAGTGGGGCGGAGGGGAGATGACATTAACCCCTGCCCCGATCATTTGTCACTGGATAAGATGCCTTGAGATAACTGTATCAGTTAAGCCCAGTGGGAAAGCGGGCTAAAAAAGAAGAATCTGAACCGAAGTTTCCCAGGTAATTCAATACAGAGGAATTCTTTGAGTCACAGCGCTGAAATCTCCACTGGTCAACTCTGCCTCATCCAACTCTTGTCTCTGGGCATAGGACTCTTCAGCGTAACAAATGCATGTGGCTCAGTCATGAAAAACAAACAGTCGGTTGCAAAATTGCAGGATATTGGTTGTAATTATGAATGTGGTGAAATTCAGATTCATTGAGAAACAGTTTTATAATGAAAGTGCTGAGTGGATTTATACATAACATGATATTTATTGTTTGCAAGTTAAGCACAAGAAGCTGGACGATCAGATGCTGCAGCTCTGCTTGGGAAGGACAAAGCTCTAAGTTTTACCTCCAGGAGGTTGGCTCATTTTTTGCTCCCCTCCTACAGCCCTTAGCTGCCATATTTTAGTCTAGTATCACAGATATGGCTCTTGGCTCATTCACATAGCCTGATCTTCCTGAACGTTAACTACCAGAACTCACACAAATGTGGGCACAAATTTTTGAGCAGGTAAAAATAAAGGTAGAGATTTTTTCAAAGCGGTGAGTGAGATTAAAAAACTTGAGCACAATTGAAATTAATGTGAACCCTGCATTTAAGCCCCACTTTTATTATGTGCTTGTATGGAGTCTAGTAGTAAAGCCCATTCTTTTTAATACATTAATGTAGCTCTAGTGAAAGGTGGCCTAGGCCACCTATGGGGCTCCATATGCAGAAACACAAATGAAGTCCATTGCCTAGACCACCTTAGTCTTTTTCCCAGCCTCTCAATCTACAAGATTAATTTCCTCTTTTTCAAAGTATTTTTTAAAATGTGTATATGTCAACAGAATACATATATATATAGAATATATATATATGTATATATATATAGAATATATATATATATAAAACACTGTGCTGTTTACATCATAATATGATGAAAGCATATCAAAATTGCACAATATTATAACAGGACCTTTGTTTTTAATATAGAAATTTACTTGAAAAGAAATACAAAAAGTCTAAAGAAAATGGTATCTGCACCAGGAATGTTTTTTTTTTTTTCCTTTTAACTTAGGAAGAGTGATATTTTCCCATTTATCACCACATCTGGTTTGAATCATCCTGCAGCTGCTACCTTTTGGTATAGTTGCTGTTAGTTCTTTGTAACCTTCTGTTCTGACACATTCTGGAATAATTGAATAATAAATCAAAAAAAATAAGAAGTGTAACGTATAACTAATGAATGGCAAGCAGCAGGAAAAATGCAAATTGACAGGAGCATTGAGGATGATCAGAGAACAACTTTGTACTAGACTGCTTAAGGAGAGCTTTCACCTTCTGCCTGTGTTTAACTCACCTGCAATGACCAGAATGAATTTTCTGGGGTACAAGGCACAGAGGTAAAACTGAATTTAACAGCACAAAACAACGGTAAAAGTCATTTAGATTGAGCCCAGTTTGCACAAACTTCTATGGCAGTTTATATGCCAAAGACAAGCTCTGCATACAGACCTCTCCAACTACCTTAAATCTTAAAGCCTAGGAGTCCACATCTAGTCTTGCTGTCCTTACTCACATGCACCTAAGATAATAAATAGGAAAAAAGTCTTATTGGCTAAGGGGGCTGTGCCTGTCATATGCAACATGGATTAGACCTAAAAGAGAGGACAAAGCAATGCCAGTGACCTCAGCGAAACAGAGGGAAAGAACAGCACTTCATATACGGGATGCACAAACTGTACCAGCACACTCACTCTTCTGCACCCTCCTGCCCATTAACGTATTTCTGCATAAGAAGATAGCAAAGATGTTTTTTTCCTGTTAAAAAACACTGAATCAAGATCTTTAAAATATTTATATAGACCTACAGAAACCAGTGCCTTAAAGCACAAGGCTATATGCTCTTGCTTTAGTCTTACTCCCATTACCACCAGAAGAGTCTGTGACATATTTTCTGGGTAAAACTTGCACGTTTAATTAAAGCACACACTGAGCTTTAAGACTAAGGGCTGCAGATCAGTCTCAGAAGAGCAGACAGCACAGTAATTATTTCAATACCAGCTCTGTCTAAACAAGGGTGACTTAAACATAAGACTTAAAAGACCAACAGTTCCATTTTCAGTAATCAGCTACGTTTGACAACACAGCCTTACGAAATCTTTACTGCTCTGCTTCGCCACCTTCCAGTGCAAACAGAATTTGCTTTCCTTTTATATGTGCAACTAGGAACACAATTCCTCTTTGGGGAAGAAACAGTCAACATCTGTGGAAAAAATGCACGTACGTTGGCAAACAGCACTCACCTCCTGAAAAAGCGTAGACATTTCACAGACCAGACATGAGCTGGGGCTTTGCATTTCACATTTGTGCCTGTCGGAGAGGAAGAAATCTCGCAGCAGTGGAGTGTGGGTAAGTGCCTGGACAATACAGTTCATAAAACATGTGTTCCCAAGATTGATTAGCCCTCGTAGACCTATAAAGACAGAAGGGGGAGGGGGGACATAAGCATTATCAAGTTAACAAAATGCTCTATTTGTTATTTGCATTTTAATATAGTTTTTACACTATTGCCAGAGATTTACAGTGTAGGCAGACCTGCAAGCACAGTTTTATATTGTTTCGGATAGACTATTGGTCTTGTCGTACTCAAGTCCTGCCATAAACTTTCTAAATCATGCTAGGATTTCCTTCTTAAAATCCCGTAAGAACATAAAACTCCAAGTACAGCAACACCAATAGCATTATTTTTATAATGGCTGTTTCACCAGATACCACCAAAAACATCCCCTCTCCCCAAGCTGCTACCAAACGCAATGATGACAACTGATAGATCAATACAATTTGATATAAAAATCATAAATAAATAAATATTTGGATAGCTTAAATGGCTTTCCTTCATGCAGGTCATAGAGCAAGAATGGGCTTTTTGTACAGTTAAAATGTAGTAACAGGCATCATCCTAAGACAGGCAACTAAGCAAAGAGCCTTGACAGTGGCAGAACAAAATCAGGCTCTGAGATCCAACGCAGACTTAACCCCTTTTTTGTACAAAACCTGAGATCTGAACAAAAACAAGCCTAATAAGAAACTCTGAACACTGGTAATCCCATTCATTTGTTTTAGCTGAGTTAAACATTAATCTACAGCACACATCACAAAATTCAACTTGGCATAAGAGAATTCATCACACCTTAAGTCATATGTTCAATAATGCCAGAGACGATTTCTTGTGCTTGGAAACCAAGATGCTTAAAGGAAAGCTCTTTTGTTGCACAACAGAAGGGAGGTTAGAAGTGGGGAAAGATTTCAGTCTTTTGCAAAGTCTAAGTGAGAAGAAAAACATGCTCAAATCCTTGGGTATTCCTCCAAATGTTAACATAACTACCACCACACAGGAGTGCTAAACAAAAGCAGCATCAGGCAGACAAAAATGCTTGTTTCTAAACCAAAAGCTTCCTGTAAAACAAGAAATTTCCAGACATACAGATATACACACAATCCTGGTATTAACTTAAAATTAACACAGTCCTCTTCTGCAATATAAACGGGATTGCCATGCAAAGGGTGAATGAAAAATGGGATTTCTCGCTTGAGAAAAACAATTTCCTTGCCATTCTACAAGGGGGGATGTGGAAAAAAATAATCAGCAAGCAATGCTGAGGCAATGGCAGGCGGTGCAGTTCCCTAGCAGAACACCAGATAGTGCTGCAGGGGCTCCTGAGCATCTCTGGGCAGGAGGGGTGCTGCAGTTGCTAGGCTACAGGAGAGGATGGCACTGTCACCTTCAACTGCGTCGCGTTTGGAGAGCGACACAGAGCCCCCTGCAATTATGAGCCCTGTATCTACCGCAACATTGTCGTCCAACGGCTTCGTTTACTCCAAAATGCAGAAGAAAGCTTCTCGTTTGCATTACGGGAACGTCTGCTAGGAAGGGAGCTCATTGCAGTCATTTGCTTCCTTTTCATGCTGGGAGGCAACAAGTGTATGCACACCAGCAGCCAAGTGTTAAATAGTTAATTTGTCGTAGCAGCCTGGAACGCAGCGCGATGCTACGGTTTCACATCCAACCCTATCCAACCCCCAGCCTACATGTCTCTGCATCCGATGTCAAAACAGAGAGGTGCTCGTGCCCTGCAAGCGCAGAAATGTTGGGTCAGACCTTATTGCATATCCCTCCCCAGGAATTTGCATTTGAAATGCACTGTTTTTACTTAAAATCAGACTCTGTGTAAACACAAGGTTATGAGACTCCCTGGGCATGCCTGGGATGCACCAGGGGATTCTGAGACGCAGAAAAGTTTCTCTCCGTTTCTCCCTGGAAATCTTGATCCCTTTAGTTAATGCTGGAATTCAACATCAGTCTGAACTGCAGAAAGCAGCATAATAAAAAAGGCATTACAACTAGAGACTCATCCTAACAGCTTTCTTTTCGTAACTAATTAAGCAATCACAAGTAAAAGCAAACACATAAAGGCAGCTTTTTGGAATCATTTATTAAGCATCATTTATTACATGCCTGTGGCTGGACCTTGTTTCCCTGTGACCACAAGAATCAATCCTCCTCAAAGCTGTCCCCAGCAGACTAGTTACAGGTGTCACACTCAGAGGGCCCTCTCGGCTAACACTTTACACGCTTGCTGCTTTGGTGCCACTTTTCCATGGGTTTGCACGGAGTGCTCCATACTGTATGACTTCACTTGACTGAACTGAGACAAAGTAACCTGCAAAACAGATGAGGCTGAAATGTGAATACTCCAAACCCTAATAAAAGTAAGAAAATTGTAAATGTAGCAAAATATGAAAACTTACTTGGCCGGAGAAGGAAAAATGGAAAGAAGCACACATCAATTTTATCCTTGAGGGAGCAATGACTGCAGCTGCTATACCCTCCTTTGGGCTGTCATCTGAAATGAAACAGGTACAACGCATTGAAGGATACCTAAACTACCAAGAAACTTATCAATTGCAGCATCTTGACCACGAAAAAACATCCAAACATAATGCACATAAACTGAAGAGCTGACAGAACTAAGCTCAGGGTGTTCCCGTATCCACAACTCCTGAATCAAACTGAAGTTTTGTTGGAGAGAGGAGAGGCTAAAATTAAAGCCTTCTCTACAGCATTCTAGTCCATTAAACATGAAGAGTGTAAAGATTTGTGCCTGCTACATGTACTGCTCTGCCCATCAACGGCACCTGGCAATATCTAACCGTCCAGTGATCGTGGCAACGTGTGGATTGCAAATAAAACAGCCCACTTTTGCCAGCAGCAGCAATTGTCTCCTTTTTTTATTTAATCACTGGGCATTACTAGCATAGAGGAGCAGGGAAGTTTTCTAAGGACTACCAACAGGATCCAGCCTCTAGTAGTAAGGCTGTGGAACCATGCAAACTTCTGCTGTATTTTATAGTATGATGGTGTTTGTTTATTTCTATTTGTAGTGAACTTTTCTTCTGAACTGAGCAAGAGCAACCAGTGAGATATCCAGTCTCTTAGCAGATAATGTGCTTTTGCGGCAAGTGTATTTTTCGCATAAAAGCACTGCTTCCCTTTTTAGCTTTATTAAAGAAAACAAAAGTTGAAAATAAATCAATACTGTTACCAAACCAAAATTATCACATATAATATAATAAAAAATAAAATACTTTTCATCAGTATGCATGCTGTATGAGCACCATTCTCATTCTGTCACATGCTGGACAGGTGGGGTCCATGCAAAGTGGCAAATCTAATGCAATGCCTTTAGCACAGATAACCAAATCTAGAAAATTCCTTTTTCTTTTGTTCTCAAAATCAGGTTCTAAGCAGATGGCTTACCTTAATCAGCTTCAGTTCTTCATTCTTCCGACATGAATTGCTTTGGTTTTGTTTCTAAAACGCGCAGAGTCGCAGAGCTGCGATACTGGGCAACGAGGCTCGCGGTGCTGCAGGGAGCTGTGAACACTGGTTCTGCAAGTCCACCCACGCAGGCGAGATGAGAAACCAAACAAGATAAGGAAATCCCACTTCTCTGAACTACGATTGTACAAATATTAAGAAGAATTTAGCAGGGGAAGGGGGAAGGAAGTGAGGGGACCACACATGAATATAGGAGTTAGTAAATCAAGCCAGGCAGGCAGGCAGGTTTGTCTTTAAAGAGCTGAAACTCAGCTTGAGGTTGGGATATGAAGAACAGAAAACAGACCAGTCTGAACAAATATTACCGGGCAGAGACCTGTGAGTTATTTGAATAAACTGAAAGCAGAAACACAGTCACTCTGCAATTAAACGGCGTTCTCCGAGACAATGAGAAACCAGTTAGATGCACTAACGCTCAACCATCTTGCGTGCCGATCCTTTGTGTGTTAACCATCGTTTGGCAACGTTTTAGAGCAATTTTTTGGCCTCCTCCCCCTGGTTCACCATCTGGTGTCAGTGTTTCCCCAAAGCTCCTTCAGACACTATCAGGAAGTCAAGGCCAGCAGCAGAGGAAGCGCTGGGCAAAATAGGGAGAGCGCAAGTTGAACACAACCCTCGGAAACAAGCAGCTCAGCACGGCCGCAAGCACTTCCAGAACGTGTTTATTTTGTCATCCTCTGTTCATCCAACAACACCGTGATGGATACACCTCCTCTTTGTGAACGTGTATTAACGGGAGGACTGTGGAACTCCTCAGAACCTGAACTAAACCCAATTTTGCTTTGAGTTCTCAAGTTTCAGGTACGGACCCCACGGCAGCGGAATCCATTTGTTCCGCACATCAACCCCAACCAGACCAACACGCTGCCATCCCACTTGCTATGTTCCAGCATGCCAGAGCCAGAACAGTCTCTGTGGTTAGGGATAACATCATTTTTCTCAAAGGATACTCCTTTTTTTGGGGAGAGGGGGTAAAGAGGGGAGGTGGATCAAATTCACTCACTTCAGAAAAGCAGCAGTGTGCACGTACACAAAAATACAAGCCTACACAGGCAAAAACACAACATTCAGCAACACTAACGGCTATGGGAGCTACCACACAATCAGTGTGCAGTTTTAGTGGATCTGATTCTACACTGCTTAAATTGGAGTGGGGCTGTGGCTGTACAGACCTTGTTGGCTCCAGAGCAACAGTCGACCATTTCCTAGATATTTTTCTTCCTCTTAATACACTGTATTGTCCAGGCACCCACTAAGAGGGTTACTGGGATGTGCCATAAACAGAACGCCACAAACTTTGCCAGAGATAAGGAAAACACCTTTCAAAGACTGTGAGTGAATACCAAGTTAACATTTGAATGTCTAATTACACACTTGCACACTCAGACATTCCTCAAAAGTGTCTTATGAAGTGGATCTTACCGTTGCTGGGTACTGAACTGAATGGCTCATAGCGAGGTGTGAGGAGGTGTAGAGGAGTCTTGTTTGTTGCTCTCCTAACTTCCCGCTCGCTCCTCAGGTTTTATTGTCGCCCTCCCAAATCTGCCACTTCTCCAACTCCGGCCACCTTGTCC